TTTCGAATTCACGTGTCACGTGAAATACGTGTTTATTCAAAATATATATCCGTGTCATGGATACACGGGTGCAAAAAAAAAACACTTGTTCCATTGAGACCTCTAATATCTACAGTCCATACTTATTTTTAAATTTTCGGAAGAGTGAGCACGGTTAATCGCAAATACGGATAATCGAGTCACGGATAATCGAGGTTCTACTGTATACGCCTTATCACAAGAAAAACACTTGGTCGAAATCCGTGTAAAAAACGGCTATGTAAAAAACAAAAAAACCGACCTTTAAGCAATTTAAAGATGTGATATCAAAAATAAATGATAAGTAAGTTGAATCTAAGTACATTTATTTACTTGGCGAGAAATTATATACCTACGCTATATTATGACACAGCACACTAAATAACGTGAACAAAATAAACAAAAAGCGTTTAAAATATTATAATGTTCATTTCTACGCAAAATAATTTCTCCCCAAGTAAATAAATTATTGAAACAAAATAAATGTAATTACTTTAATTCAACTTACTTAGCATTTATTTATGATATCACATCTTTAAAGGTCTGTTTTTTTAGCAGTTTTTTACACACAACTCGACGAAGTGTTTTTGTTGTGATATTGTCCAGACAACAGTTTTTTTATTTTATCGCTAAGTTTCTTTTTTTATTAAGTACAGTGAAAACTCTTTATAACGAAACTCTTTACAACGAAAAACTCTATATAACGTAAACATTACATAATAAGTAAGTACTTTTCCTTATTTTTCATTCTTCGTTTCTACACTTTATTTGGCATAATAATCATAATTAAATAATACCAATATAGGTACATTATTGTACGCGAGGTGCGAACACAGTAATAACTAACAACAATTATAATAACAAGCTAGGTAATACACTAATACTAGTGATAATCACAATTTAACAAATTATATTAAATAAAATATAACAAATTTACGGTACAAAGCGATAGCCTTAACGAAATGAAACAAATAATAAATACTCACGTGAAGTCGTGAAATAGCAATAATGAAATTTGTGGCGAAATGGAGTAGGGGAACAGTCAGCGCGACCGAGATGCGGATTCCACCGAGATCCTGATTTCATTATAATTTATCATTAAAAAGTTTGCACGTTTCCTTTAATAACATGATTTCTAGCAGGACGATTTCGATGATTTTTGCAAAAGGAACATCTGCACAATTTTTCTGATGTTTCCATTATGTTAGGTATTAATTGATTCAGTAGATAATTAGTTAGGTCCTGTTAAAAAAAAAAAAAACATCAACATTTACACTTATACACATTTGTTATAAATTAATATTTTATGTTTGTATGTCCATAGATCTATACCTAACCATATACAATACAATATACTATCTGTCTTTACTCTGAATCACGATTTAAGCTATCTTAAATCGTGCTCTGAATATCCATGGATAATAAAGATATGGATAGGACATAATGGTCTTATCAGCGGTATTCAAGGGGAACAATCGAGGCCAAATAAAGTATACCTATATCGAGTATCGACTATTTTTTTTTTTTTTTATTGATCTTTGTGTAGCTTCGGCGACATAGGCCATTAGCTTTCTATGTGAATATCTCACTAGTCACTGGTGATGAATGTTATTTTACAAGGTGGATATATATATATATATATATATATATATATATATATACCTTATACCTATATCCACCTTGTTATCTTATAATTGATAAATCACGGTTTAGAATATAAGGTTATATGCATAATATGATAATATACCAACATTTAACGCATAAATTTAAATATATTATAATAAATAATTATTATTAATTGTAAATTATCATAGGTCCCAAATGTTATACTATGTTTGTTATTTTGTATTAGTTGAATTACAGATTAATACAAAATCATTTGTAATGGTATTATATATTAGTATATAATAAAATATTACCAATGTCCAATATGTATTATTATAATATTGGAAACCCAGTGATATTATTATATTTCAAAGGACAAAAGTACATTTTATTTATCTGTAGAAGGTGCTTTTTATTAACACTGTAAAAAAACTAATAAAATTGAAAACTGACAATGTAAGTAAACAGCTCAAAAAGAGTCAAAATATTTTCAAAATTTTATGGTGTATAGAAAATGAAAATATAAAAATTCAGTAAAATGTTCATGTTCATTATTCATTATTGAATTACAACAAAATAAGAAAATCGCTACATGATAAATCGAGTTGTGTAAAAATTTGAACTTCAAAGTTCAAACGCTCATAAAAATTTAATTTTCCGTTCTTGTAAACATTTTTCTTTTTCGATAAAGTTAGACAACTTATGATGAGTCTTGTATTACATTGAAAAATATTAGACTTAAAAAGAAGTGTTAATAGCAGTTGATAAATATTAAAGATAAGCACGATTTTTTACAAGTAGGTACATACCTATATATTTTAAAATTCTAATTCAGACTAAATGTATCAAATTGAAATAGACAAATTATTTAGTAATTTCTATAGTTAAAATTGTATTAAATGTTCAACTTTTATAGCTAAGGATACAAAACTGAAAACAAGTTTCCACGTAAGTAGGTAGTTAATTATGTAAGCAAAAAATCTAAGAAATATATACACACAGTTTTTTTTTTTTTTGTTAATTTAAGTTCAAATTTTTACCTCCCAACAATATTCACTTTCCCATCGAACAAGATACCGAAGTTGAAAATCAAAGCATTAATTCGACTACTTATTTTGTACACAGACACAAAAATAAAAACTAAAAAAACACACATCATTGTAAAATCAATACATTCATCGCTGCTCTCAAAATGTAAAAACTTCTACCATATAAGTGATTTGTAGGGCTATAATAGAACCGTAGTGCAATAGGAACCTAGTTATAAAAGGTAAGTGTCATATTGTAGTTGACTCATAAGTGATTTGCTTAAAAATAAAATACGGGCCACTTAAATCATGAATCAAGTAATTTTATTTTATAATTTATAAATAAAAACCATATCGTTAATAGGTAATAAAAATGCGAAAACCACAAAAGAAACAAAATTTAAAAAAATGTGATTGTTTCTGTCATTCTGTCTCTGGCATCAAATTGAAAATAAATAAACTGCACCTTTACGCAATAAATGAAATCACAACAAAAATTATATTTAGAAATGTAAAAATATTCATTGAAAAACAAATCTTAATAAAAATTACACAATATATTATTATAAAAAATTTCAGGAACATGACCTTAAGAACAAAAGTAAATACATTTTTAACTAAACATACACAATTAAATATTATACCGGGTGATTCTTTTATCATTGAGAACTTATTATTTTAAAAAAGAATAATTTTTAACAATGACAACATACAGTATTATTTTCATATTCCAAAGCAGAATATTTTTCCAAGTATTTTGATACACAAAGTCGAATTTAGGACGAGTAGATTATGAGTTATGACTTATGAGTTACAAGTATTTTAAGTTTAGAAGAGCCGACTGGACAGTAGCGTATCTAGGAATTTTTTTTTTTGTGGGGGGGGGGCTGATCAGTTACAAAAAAAAAAATAACTGCAAAATAAGTGATTAAAAAAACTATATTTAAAATAATACATTATTATTTTAATCATATTGTTAATTTTAGTCGTCTAGCTTTTCCACTGTTCGAAAATTTATCTAGTACCATATCATCAGTAATATCTACATCTCTATGAATTGATAACAGAGCTAGTTCTACAAGCCGTGATTCAGATGTAGTGTTTCGAAGATAATTTTTCAATCTCCTTAATGTTGAAAAACTTCTCTCCGCAGTTGCTGTTGAAACAGGAAGTATTGATAGTATCTTAAGAAGCTCATACCTTGCGTAATGCGACATATGGGTTACATGCTGTTATAGGTATATTAATTAAAATTTATGTTCCTTATATGACAATGATGTGTTGAACAATTGTTCATTGTGAAAATGTTTTTTATTTTTATTCTAAATTAATAATTAATGTTTATAATATTACATGCAATATAATGTATTAAGTTATTTTGAAATTACCTAATATTATTATCTATTTTTTTGTTTTGTATATTTAACATTTTTACCGAATAAACATAAAAGGTTAGCTATTTTTTTTGTTTCTATATGCTGAAGTAGAATAAGACATATAATTCAAATTAAAAACATGACACATTTGTACAATTCAAAAATATTAGATTAGAGGATGATTATTGATTATTAAATTTAAAAATCTTATAATTCTTAAAAACTGTGAATATTGTTTTTCAACGTGAATACATTATAAATAAATATATCAATGTTTTATACAAGGTTATATTTTTTAAATATCCATATAAATTACACCCTAACGTTATATTAATGGTTTTTTTAAACTTTTATAAAATGTTAATTAAACCATTAACATTAATACTGACCTATTAATGTATTTAAATGATAAATTTAATGTTTAATATAACAAAATATTTATTGGGTTACACACATACCCATGCACACGCAATAAGTAACAGGCAGATAACTTTAGATGTACACAAATAATATGATCACAATATTCCGATACGTAATAAATCATTATTAAATATAAATCATATCTTGATTATTGTCGCATAATTTATTTTTTAATTTAATGAATAACCTATTGATTAAAATTCGTCTAAGAATTCCATTTTTAATTTTTCCCTTGACCAATTTATCATTTGTTCAAATTTCCCAAAAGTATTTTAGCTATATCATTTAAAAATATTAATGAACATTTATTGTACTTACAAATTTTATCAACGTTTAAAAATGTATTTTATACAATCAAAAAATGTAATCTATTAAATAATAAATATAGACTCATAAATCATTTCAAAAATATTTATTGAAAAAAAGACACATAGGTAAAATGAAAAAATGTTAGATTAAAGGCTGGTTATTTGATTATTAAATTTAAAATAATGTTAATATTGTTTTTCAATAATAATACATTATAAATAAAAAATCAATGTTTTATACAAGGTTATTTTTGAAATGTATCGACATTTTCTGACCAGTGATTTATGTTGATTTTTGGAATTAATTGGGAACTACAGAGTTGCAAATCAGCCATTTCAGGTATCAAAAATACTTTTTTCTGCATCATTGTGATATTATTACTGTTATCACAAAAGATTCTGGCAAGCGTCACTTTTCTGATTTCTGTCAGTTGATCTGAAATATTAAAAAAATTTAGTTAAAATCAGGATCATTTATAAAAAAAACATTTCAGATATACTAACATTCATTGAATATATTTGGTAAATCGTAAAAATATCTATCTGCCATTCTAGTTCTTATAAACTGTTCTCTAATGATACATCTCATCGTTGGGCCAACCATTGAGTCGTCTTCGTGTTTCTCAAACAATGCACCTACAAATAGCTCTATATCTCTCCAATGATTGTATTGTTTCAATAGTCTATCAGTTGACTAAATATTATAATATACGGGAATAAATTAATAATCACTATAATATTATTTAATATTTCAAATAGTTTAAACTTACACCTTCAACCATGATCCGAGATAAATCTTGTATACTTCTAATAGCTTTTAGTCGACAATATTTTCTAAATTCTGTGTAGCTTGGTATACCATGATCGCGGCTTCGTTGTATATCCAGGCTGACAATGTCCATTCCAAACAAGTGATATGGATGAACACTGTATAAATAATTTGTAAGCTGAAAAAAAATTTGAATCACTAATGTTAAAATATACAAACGTATAATATGGGTAGGTAGTCTGTTAAATGGATAAATTCATCGTCATCTATGAGATGTAAAAATGTCATTGCGTTATATTGATTGTATTTCAAATACCTACCGTTTGAGTAAATAGCATATCGATTTTTTGTGTATTCTGAGTAGATAGCCCTCTGACAAGCTGATCCATGTAATTTAATAGTAAACCAGTTGGTCGGTTGTAATGTTTCTTCAGCGAAACACTTGAGTTGATCACTCGGTCTTCCGTATATAAACTAAACAAAAACTTAGGTAGGTGCATTTAATTTAATAATTTTAAGTACCTATTCTAAATGTCATGATTCTCTTTACAAAAAAAGCACTGTTATCGACATCTTAATATATTGTTGTGTACATTATCAATTTTTGAGGGGGGCACATATATTGGTGTCATATAATGTTGAGTCTACAATGTAGACAGTCGTCAATATAATTTAATTTAATATAATATAATAATTATGTAGTATAGGTTGTAAATATATTTTGGCAACTTTTAAATTTAGATTGGTCAGACAAGCGAAGCAATTTGGACTGAAGTGACAGTAGTATATTTCTAAATTATAACATCACCACTCGCGCGTACCAATAAACTTGTTTCTGATCTAAAACTGTGATTGAGTTTTATTTCAGAAATTTTACCTTCTTACATTACAAAAAGGAACAGTGGTGGGGTATACGTTTATTTAAACCAAATAGTTATAAAGTACATAGAGACAATGTTATATAGAATCTTATTGAGTCATTTTAACTTAGAAGGAACCAACGTATAACCGACAAGCACACACTCTCGTACTTCAACAGCGCTAATTTAATTTGTTTTCAAAAGAGTCGGTCTAAGTGTACGAGGTTGCGTCGTTGGTCTAAGCGTGTAGGCGAATGTACGTTCATACAGGAGACCTAGGAGGTAACAAATTCATTGGTTAGTTCCTATTTGTTGATAAATCATTTGTGATATAATATGTAATACAAATATAAATATAAATATAAAGTAATTAATTAATTAATAAAGTATATAAAGGTGTATATGCTCCAGCTCTACGACGCAGTAATAGTTCCTATGATATATTCGTACTTAAAGACTTTTGCTTTGAGCCTGACAGTAGTGCAAAAATACATTTTTCAACAGGGGTTTCTACTAAATACATTTATAAATAATTTGGCTTACATCTGCATGTCTCTAATTAGTTAATGAATAATGGTTATAGTTTTTTGAAGGGTAAATAGCAAGGGAATATAACGGGAAAAAAGTTTGGACTTTGGGTATGTATATATATTGTATAATATCTTAGATCCTACCCGCTGTAAGAATAAATTATGTAGTTATTAGTTATTAGTTACTACACTAATCATTTATCTGTGATTATTGGGATGATACAATTATTAATAAATTAATAAGACATTATAATATAATATAAAATATTAAAATGTTGTCAAAAGTCAGTTGAATGATCCAATCTGTTAAATAAATATAATACATTTTACGAATGAAAAATTGTAAATAAAACATAATATTTTATATCTTATGTGGTTAAATTTGAATACCTAAATATTTAATATATAATCGAATTTATTAATTTTGTTTGGTATATAATTAAAAAAGTGGTACAGTAGGTTACAAGTGGGTCACTGTATATTGGATGGTATTAAATTTGAATTCAATGATATAATATCATTGTATAAGAAAAACGATTCTGAGTGGAGACGGTATGTCAGTCTAGGTTTAAGACAAATTATATACATATCAATGGTATTAAAAAAAAAATTGACCTATAATAAATTTATTCAAAATTAATCATTTCACAATATCCATAAGGTACTTATAACGCGTTATACATCAATAACAAACCCTGATACTGCCATAGATATATAATAGTGTACTTTAGAAGTTTCAAGTACCCACGAATAATATTATACAATCACAACAAAATAACTAAAATTGTTATTCTAGGTCTTTTATTATGTAATTTCGTCCGAATTTTAACTTAAAATGACTATAAAAATAAACTGTGCTTATGTATTTTTTTTTACATTTTTAGATAACAGAATTAATTAATTAAGTGGATTATTGTTTTAAATTTTCAATCCTTAGATATAAAAGTTGAACATTTTATAAATTTTTAACTACAAAATAATTTTTCAATTTTAAATTTGATAAATTTTATCAAAATTCGATCTTTAAATGCTTATAAAAAAAATTGTACCTATGCATTTTTAATATTTTTCAACTGATATTGTATCAATATATCAGGAGCCTTGTAATAAATTTTTATATTTTTTGGCCCAAAAGAAAAAACTTAATTGATATTTATAGAAAAAAAACTAAAAAAATTGAAAATTAAAAATCTTCATAAACAGTTCAAAAAGGTTCAAAATATTTTCAAAAATGTATGGTGTATAGGAAATGCTAATATAAACATTCAGTGAAACTTTCATGTATTTACAGTTATTCGTTTTTGAATTACAACAAAATAAGGAAATCGCTACATGAGAAATCGAGTGAATATCTAATGTTGTAAACATTTGAATTTCAAACACTCATAAAAATTTAACTTTCTTTAATTAGACTTTCTTATGGACATTTTTGTTTTGATAAAAGTAGATAATCTTATAAGGAATTTTGTGTTACATTTTCAAATCTTAGATTGAAAAAGAAAAATTTTTACGAATTCTTAACTCAAAATAATTAACTAATTTTCGTGATTTTTCCATATTTTGTCAATTTTTGAACTTTAAATGCTTATAAAAAAAGACTGTGACTAAGGATTTTTAATATTTTTCATCTGCCTTTGAAACAATATACGCTAGGAGCCTTCTATTAAATTTTCAAACTTTTTTATCCAACAAATTAAATTTTATTGATATTTTTAGAAAACAATGTTCTTAAACAGTTCAAAACAAATCAAAATATTTTGAAAATTTTATTGTGTATAGAAAATGCAAATATAAACAACAAGTGAAAATGTCATGTATATATGTTCATTTGTCTTAGAGTTACACCAAAAACCAAAATTGATTTTTAGGAAAACCGATTTTGCGTACAAATTACCGTTTTTCCTTAATTTTTATATTGTTTTTCCCGGTTCGTGAAAACTATTGGGAATTTTAAAATTTGACCTCCCGAATGCAAAAACTAGATTCACTTTCCCATCGAAAAAGATACTGTTGAAGAAAATCGAAGCAGTTTTACTGCACCAAACCGTGATGACAGACACAAAAATAAATAAAAATTAAAAAATAAAAATAAAAACATACATCATTGTAAAATCAATACATTCATCGTTCCATTCAGAATCTAAAATGTAGTCACTTATAACATTAATTTCTACCTCTGTGCAATTTTACTCATTTTCGTTTTTATGTTGCTATTTGTGATTCTTATATTTTGATGTATGGGTTTACTTAAAAGTTTTATAGGATTTCAATAGTTTTAAAAATATCAGGTATTCGTTTATAAAAAGTGGATCGGTGTTAAATTTGAATTCAATGATATATTATCATTGTATAAGAAAAACAATTCTGAGCGAAAACGGTCAGTCAGCCTATGATATTACTAAGTATTTTTGATGATATTATTGTGAATAAATTAATGTGGAACCATGTTTTAAATTTTCAATCCTTAGGTATGAAAGTTGAACATTTTATAGTTAACCTTATAAGAAATCTGATATTATATTTTAAAATCTTAGATTTAAAATGAAAGTTTTTAAAATTTCTAACTCAAAATAATTTGCACATTTTCGTTACTTTTACGCTTTTTGTCAAAATCCGAACTTTAAACGGTTTAAAAAAAAAATGTTGACGTTTGATTTTTAATATTTTTCTAATGTCATTGTATTAATATATGAAGAGCCTTGTATTAAATTTCCAATACAAGCTATTGGAAGAGAGGAATACAGATCATTGAAAATCAATACATTCATCGCTCCACTGGATCAGTATCTACAAGTATAAACATAAATTTATAATAGTATTAATAGTCTCCCAATAGTATTTAAAATTTACCATTGTTACGTTGTTGATTACGTTGTACCTTTAATCTAAGCTTCCCTTAAATTGTATGCAGTACTTATATAAAGTATAGATACTTATGGTTGTTTTTTTTTTATACAGTTTAAGAAACCTTGATTCTTAACGTCCATACCAATATTCCATTTTCAAAACTATTGTACATATTTTCCGACAATACTTCATTAATTCCTAACCTACTATAGAATAAAAATGAAATAACTTTATAATTTTTTTTTAAACTTTAAGATTTACCTAAATAACAAAAAATATTCGCTCAATAAGGTATAATTATACACAAACATTGAAATTTGAATAATATAATTTTGGTTTGAAATTAAAATATTATGTAGTTACCATTTAAAAATCAAAAGCCGATAACGGGTTCACCTGGGTGAAATAAGATAACTCTACCGTTTTTGCACTTACACATTGATCTTAAATGTTCCATAGAAACATGCTTAAATTACTAGAGTTGTTCATAGTTTTTTATCAAAAAATCAACCAGAAATAACCTTCATATACACGATAATAATAATAATATTACTATACCAGGTGGGAACGAACCTGATGGTGTCACTTATCATGGAATTAGCGAACGGTAATACTGCGGTCGCAAAGCTGTTGCTGACGCTCGGGTCGGTGGTCTCGTTGTACTCGTTACTGTAGCCTTTTGTCGACAGATCAAGCCCTTTCCGCTTGGTGTAGTTTTCCCCGAGTAGCGCTGGCAGCCACTCAGCGTAAGTGATATGCTGTATGGATGCCGTAACGATTTTCCTGGCCTCCTGAAAAATACGTTCGTCGTCCCAGTGCGGGTTGACGTGTGACAGTAGTTTGGCCAACCGGTTGTGTTCCCTCATCCACAATGTGTGCATGACCGTCAGTTGAGGAAGCGCGTTTGCTCGGATGTCACCAGCCCTATAACACGTGCCACTGCCATACTGACAGGCGCTTGATTCGGTGTCTTCCAGTGGCATATACTGTGGCTGTACCGGGTCGTCTTGGCTATTGTTATAGCAGCCCATGTTTGTCAACAGTTGGCCGCCCAAGTTGGTCCTCAATGACCACGTCCGTTTCGCCGACGAACCGTATATCATCGACCCATCTAAATAATGAGTAGCTTGGTTCATCTGCGAAAAATAACCATGTTAAGAAGTTCAATTTGTAATTATCTATGATTTTAGGGGAATTCGGAAAGCTAGTTCTCAACACTAAATAGAAGTATCAAAAATGTGCACCACTACAAACGGCCACTGGTTTTTCTTTCGCAGATAGATTACCTTCTAAAATTTTAAATTTCAAAATTGTAATGGTAGTATATAAATTTAATTAACTGGTAATTATTTACGTAATTTTAATTAATAAAAGTTATAACCAACATAAATATACGTTATTCTGGTTTATCTTATATGGCTCTTACTTGTTCCTTGGGTCCAAAAGTACAATCGGAACGCACAGCTGGCACCGAACGCGCGTAGTTCATACATCGAATACGGTTCGTGTAAAATGGATCTTCATCCGGTACCACTACTTCCATGCACAATCTGTCCCGGTATCGAGGACTGAGCCGACTTCGGTCATCTGAACAACATCTCACGGATTTATAACTATTCACTAAGGATTTAATATTAATTTGCATTCATTAATTACGATCAATCGATATATATGGGGTTATGTGTTAATCCTACTCGTTACAGAAATTGCTGTGTGAGATAGATCATGGCCTACAAAAATCGTCCAGTACGCCATCGCCATCGTTTTTAAGTCATCAGGTGAGTGCTCGTCTCTGACAAATTCAACGCTCAGCCTTCTAGGACTGGGTAAATGTGATAAATGAAATTCCACAAATTCTGTATGAAAGGTAATTGAAATAACATCATTAAATATGCTCAAATGTAAATTATAATGTTATTATAATTACCATAAAAACTATCAATATAGTTATTAAACAGCAAACGTTTATAAGCCGTGGTTGCTTTCCCCGAGTAGGAACGTTTTAAGTTGTTACAAGAACCGTCAGGACTACGATACTTCAAGTTCATCCCGATGCATTCAGTTTTGTTGTAAAACATGGACAAACAAATCTTACCCAAAGATGTCTTATCTAGTTTCACTTTCGATAAGACTATGGCACATTGTCCTCCTCGACTATCAAGATAATTTAAATGGTCGTTATATTTATGCATATTCAGAATATTTTTTTTAATGAGATTTATAATGTATTTACTCTCGACATTCACTATTGCTTATAAAGGCGGAAGCTTCAGAAATAATTTCAGCCTGCTTATACAATGAATACAGTTCTTCGGAAAGCTGGGAATCGATCAATAGTCCATGCTCCGGGGTTCCAATAGCCAAACTTAATTTATATTTATAATACAAATGTCTCATCTCACGTGCTCTAATATCGCCGGCTACTGTTTGAATATGATCATCTAATTCTTTGGTTTTTAGATGTAGGTACCAGTCGGTTTTTTCTATCTTCAAACCATCTGTATAGATAAACAGAACATTTAATCATTGTTACCATTTTGTATGAAAAATAATCAAGTTATGATTTATACCTTTAAAATAGAACTCAGCTCGACATCTGTAACAGGATGGTAAGAATACCAACATACAAATCCACAGATGTATAGATATCGAGGAACTCATTCTGCTAGGTAATTATAAACTGTAATAATTTAAAAAACAATGTTTGATTGCTAACATTAACCGTTACTTTATATATTTAACTATTTAAAGAGCTGTTATATTGAATGCACTCAAATATAGACATATAGTTTAGTGAACTTAGTAAACTAGAGTTTATTCTAAAGCGTAGTTTGGCTTATTTTGAGTATTAAGAAAAGCTAGATGTGCACTTGATAATCAGTTTTTGCTTAATTGATTTTTATAATTTATTGTTTTATTATAAGATAAGACATCAATTAGTAGTTCCTATAGGTATAAGAATCTGTGGTATTTCTACGTTGCCTATTGCTATAGCTCAACAATCTACGGGAACATAAAAAATTAAAAGAGATACGACAATAATTGTTGCCATTCCCTAAATTAGTTTAATATTTATCTGGGTCCAACGAGTTTAAAAATATTACTATTTTACTTGCTCTTGTTATAGATGCAAAACCTCACAGGTCACAGCGCTAACGTTGAACAATTAAAATATAAAAGAAATAAACAGAAAGGCTGAAGAGCAAACTGAGAAAAAAAATTAAAAATATAACATTCTAATATTGTGTTATGTATTACTTTGAATTCAACGAGATAATAATATCATTGTACACGGAAAACGATTCTTAGCGGCGGCGGTTTGCCTGTGTGGATATTTTATATCATATTTAATATTTATATTGTTATTACTTATTATTAATACGATAGCCTGTAAGATGAGTAAATATTATACAATTATAACAATATATCTAAAATTGTTATTCTTATAGTTATTTAATATGACATATTTTGGAAGAAATTACATTGTAATTTCTTCCAAATTCGAACATAAAATAACAATAAATAAAACTGTGTTATTATATTTTTGAGATTTTTAGGATACAGTATCTTTACTTACAAGGAACCTTGTTTTAAATTTTCAATCTTTAGCTATAAAAGTTGTAGGTTTTATACATTTTAAACTACAACATTTTTTTAAAATCTTAAATTTGATAAATGTTGTAAAAATCACGAAATTGTCCAAATGACTAATACAAAAAGCCTATGAGATACCCTGGATAAGAATCTTACATTTTAATTATATAAGAGGTCATTTCACTCAATTTTATATATAAGCAAGTATAATTTTCTAAAATTCAACCATTTATTTATACTGCCGTCATAGATCAATGTACCACATATTATACAACCAGTGTCTTCTGTATTATACTAAAATTAAAAAATGACTCTTTATCAATAATTTCATCGACACTGATTGATTGTTGCTAAGGAACCCTCTTATATCCATTATTATCTCCTATATTACTTTATATCTTAACCTAGCTTTTTGGCTAGTATATAGCTAATAAGAAGTTCGTAACATAGCTATTTTAAGTAGATCACGTTTAACTACGATAGTTTAAAATTAAAATAGCTCAATGTGAAATCAATACATTCATTGCTGCGCTCAGAATCTAAAATAAATTGATGTAAAATTTTAGAGACATAAAAAATACAAAAAAACATAGTATTGCTGCTCCTTGGCTACTCTCTAAAACATAGATCATAATATAAGATTGGAGGTATATATGATTATGACTATTATACACTGGCATTAAACTCTGGAAGGAAACTATTAGAATAAACAAAGAAATGTATAAACAGCAGATGGCAAACTTGGGGAAATTATTAAAACCCTTACTATTTCGATGAATCCAATAGGACAAATATAATTGTGTAATAAGGTATAGCATTTAGTGAACACGTTAATAGAAATAAACCATACAAAGTAGGTATATAAAGTATACGAGTATACGACATTATAAAATTAATAGGTAGGTAATTAATGTTTTAAAAACTGCGTATCAATACGTGATTGTTATATAACAGGATATCATAATAATATTTTTGAAGTACACAGATATACACAAGTTAAAGGTAAATAATAATAATAATAAATGTTTGGTAGGTACTCACCGTAACTTAAATTATATTGTTTAAAGGACAGATTCTTATCATTCGACTGCTATCGTATCAATGTATTTATATTGATTGTGTCGTTACACAATGAAAATACTCATCCGATGGAAGAGATTATTTAACCAATTAGGTTTAACGATGAGTTATCACATCATGACGGAGATACAGTTCTACGTGCCTTTTAATAGCTGGCAATAAATGTACCTATTGTCTTGCCGGGTGGGATCACTGTCACGTGGAATCGTCGTCGATGCACTGATATTATGTCTGTGGTTTCCAGTTGTTTCCAGTTTCTACTGTCGGCCAACGTGATATGGGGGGAACGACGATCCTATTGGATTCACCCCCACCCACTCCCCACCGTACTTACCAAGCCACTCCAGTATATTTCCAAACAAACACACGTATAATTCCGTCGTGGGTGGCGGTGACCAGTTTTTTTCTCAGTAATTTTAGTCGAGGGGAGCCGAAGCTGGTACGCCGAGCTTTGTATTATTATCGAAGATCAGGAAATCACAAACCTGCTAAACGGTAGTGCTGTGTGTGTATTTGTATTATATAATTTATACTGTTCCAGCAGTAAGCCGAATAATAAAAACGACGTAGGCCTACGGATTATTTGGAGCCGATTCCATTTTCAAATTCATGGGACCAAGTACTTATGTCGTATATGATATTTACAATAATATACTCGTTTTGAGTGACTACTATTATACCTAAAAACCATAATGCGTAGATACTTAATTGAAATTGTGTACCTACTGTTATAAATTACACGAGGATTAAACGTATTTATTTTCTTTCATTCAATGACCCACGTATATCTATAATTTGATAAGAACATAATAAATTCATTAAAATATTACACAATAAATGTATATTCTAATTGAAAAAGTCATATTAATAATTTAATTGTTGTAA